AATTTAGCTAAGACAAAATTTGAGGAAGCACTGAGCGGCAAAATTAAGGGATGAGAAGTTTTTTATAATGCAAACTTTTCATAATCGTAAAACATGCACGACCTTGAGTATTTAAAGAAGTAAACTATTTTCCCTGTTATATATCGTACAAATAAAAGAGCATGGATGACACAAGCGTGAATGAATGGTTTGAAAATCATCTTATATGCGAGGATCGCCAACATTTGAATTCGGTTGGTTTACCTGATGACTCAAAAATAGTCCTGATTGTAGACAACTGTTCGGCTCATACTTCATTTAAAGTTTTAATGAAAGATAATGTATCTGCATTATTCTTCCCTCCAAATTGTACGTCTGGATATCAGAAATGCAAGTATAAAGTAGCATTTTTAAAATCCATGTTAAATTTCTTGAACAACGGCTAAACTATTCAAGAATTTTTGAAATATTTTAGCATAAAATCTGCTTTGTCGAGCATCGCAAGATCGTGGAAGGATGTGTCTCCAGATACGTTAAAAAAATGCTTGGAATAATTTATGCCCAGAAAAATATATTAAATAATTTATATGAAATTCATGGTAAGGACGGTGAAGATGATAGCCGCGAATTTGAAGGTTTTTGAATAAGGGGAAATTTTCCAGTTAATGTATTTTGTAAAGAAATGTGGAGAAGCAGTAATAAATGAAGATGATGTAACAGAAGTTTTTCATTGTGATGACAATGCCTCTATCATCAATCAACAAAAGTACGATGAAATCTGTAGTAGGGTTCTAGGTCCAGAAAATACTGCTACCGATAGTGAAGAAAGTGTCAGAGAGGTTACTGAAATTGAAAAAATTTAGATTGACACGCTAGTCGGTATTCTCGACACAGAACACTTGAACATTGTACTGACAAGAAATTTGTCTGTTATAGATAAAGAAAGTTTGCCAAAAAACGAGCAACTTACGTGAAAGAAATGTTTATAATAAACAATAATATTAAGCTTTTTTTTTGTAATTTTGATACCCTTTAGAAGTGTTTCTTACCTTTCTAGCGAGTCGCACCCCATTGAATCTGAAAATATCTCCGCACCCCATTGAAAATGTTTTTTAAATTTTTTAGTCTAGAAAAAATACATTTTTTGCGAAACTTATTGTTTATTGAAAAACATTGTACATTTTATATAAATACAAAACAATATTATTTTTATTAATGACTAGTCTGTTGTTGTTTGTTCATTATTATACTGGCGAAGCGAGGTTCCTTTTTTGAAAGACATACGCGTAAGTCATCACTTGCATTTAAGCGATTTCTCGCTTTAGTTTTTATATGCAAAAGCGATGAAAATCCCATTTCGCACAAGTAGGTGGTAGCAAAGGGTAAGAGTAACTGCAGTGCTCCGTTCGCCAACTCTGGATAACGTTGTAACTGTGAACACCAGAATTGTTGCAATTCTAATTGTTCGAATTCCATTTGAACATGTCCACTTGCTCGCATTTCAATAAGTTGATCTTTTTTCAGATCACTATCACACTATCATCCATCAAATTTAAGTCAAATAGAAATGGATCCAGTATCCATCTCTGAGTTTTGGTAATATTTCCGGTAGAAAAATATCCATTGAATGATTCGCTCAATCGTCTCAAATGTATTACAATGTCGGGTATAATTGTATTCTTTTCATTTTTCGCAATAACAGAATCAAGCAAGGGAAAGTTTGCAAAATTCCCCTTTTCTACTCGACGTATCCAAATTTCTAATTTTGCGATAAATGAAGATAATTTTTCACTAGATATTATTATATTTATACCAAATCCTTGCATTGATAGATTCAATTCATTTAAATGGCTAAATATGTCTGCTAAGTAGGCCAGCCTCAGCATTGCATCATTACTCTCAAAATCTTTTACTAAATAACAGTTTTGACTAGTCAGTAATTGAATAATTTCCTCACGCAATTCAAAAACTCTGTTAAGCATGCGACCCTTAGATAACCATCGTATTTCGGTGTGATATAGGAGCACGGTATGATCAGCACCGATTTCTTCGCAAAATGCACGAAAAATGCGATGATTAAGCGCTCGCCCTCGGATGTATTTTACTACATTTACTGCTGTAGTTAGATGTTGTTTTAAACTTTCTGGCAATGCTTTCGACGCAAGTGCATGACGATGCAACATGCAATGCGTTATTATAACTTCCGGTAATTCTCTTTTCATGTGTGAAAAAAATCCTGAATTTTTGCCTAACATTGCTGGGGCTCCATCAGTGCATATTGAGCCAATCACATTCATTGGTAATTGATATTTAGTAAAAAAATCTTTGATGCGATTGAAAACATCAATTCCTCTCGTATTCACCTCCAGTGGCTCACAAAATAGAAATTCTTCTATCACCTCTTTTTCCTTCACATACCTGACAAATACCAAAAGTTGGCTACAATTATCAACATCAGTTGACTCATCCAGTTGCATGCTTATTTTTAGTGGACTGATTTTTATGTCTTCAATTACTTGCATTAAAATATCTTCACTGAGATCTTGTATTCGCGATCGTATAATATCATTCGATAATGGAATCTGTTGGATTTTTTTATGTGCTTCCGAATCTAAAACTGTTTTAGCAATAATTAAAGCAGAAGGTTTAATCAACTCTTCAGCGATCGTGTGAGGTTTCTTTTCTTTTTTTTTTTTTTTTTTTCACATAAATATGCCACTTGATATGACGCTTCTAATAAAGGTTTTTGAATTGCTGGTCCGCACAATTTTAGGATAGTTCCACTGGTATCAAACCGAGCCTTCTTTGACTTCAAGCTGTTCATGCTATGCGCTTTTTCGCCACCATGCAGATTGTTGAAATGCTCTAATAACTTTGATGGTTTGAGATTGCTGTTTGAAAATATCTTGGAACACAAGATGCATTGCGGTCGTTGCGTGCCATCTTTTTCGGTTGTGCAGGTAAATCCATAACCGGCATACTTATCGTTCCATTGTCGTTTTTTTTGACATAGTGGGGTTCACTATAATCGATTTAATTATTTAGAAATAATGTAATATAATATATATAATGTTCTTACGTTTGTAATATCACTGAATCCTATTCGGCTTGAACGGGCAATTAAGAATGTATTAGTCTCAAGAGGTTTCTGGACAAGTCAGAATACACAATACACATGTCGCAGACACAATAGTTGACTCAACCTAACACAGGCGCAGTAGATGCAGATACAAATCTGTGAATCCGTAGATTCCATTGGAGCAGCACATGCGCAAGCTGGGATAACGTTCTCCGCTTGTATTCCCAGAAAGTTTTTCTTTTGTCCATCACCTAGCTGCCTGTTCGCATTCGTTTGTAGCGTTTCATGCTCTTTGGTAGCGTAGTGTATACGCTCATCGGCACCGGCTCTTTCCTATGTCTTTTGCCGATAAGTGAGCTAAGTACTACCAATTTTTATGAGCTTCAATATTGCGGACAATTTTGCAGATTTCAAATATTTTATTATAAGAAATTTAATAAATGATATTTAATGATTTTTATGGTTTGTTAGGGGCTTCTCCCGGACCCCCAAAAATACATTCCCGCACCCCCGGTTAAGAACCACTGCTTTATATCATAATTGTTCTTTATTTAATATTTTTAGTTGTATAATTTCTACATGCCATCTTACCAGATTTAAATTTAGGATCTAATATCCGGAATCGCTGAAGTTCTGACAAGTCTGGATTTTGGACTTTGTACTGTATAAAATCAAACTTCAAATAAGTAAAACAGAAAACTTTGCACCACTGTATTTGCAACAAATGCACAACTGAAATGCATTTGCCGACTGCATAAAATTGCTCCGGGGGCTGCCAGTTTGAAACCACAATATTGAAACCTGTTATAGAGAACATTCAAATTACACAAAAATAATATTTTATGATTTAACTTTTCATGGAATAAATACAAATTCAATTAACCTTATCCTGTTCTATTTGATTGGTCTCTTTCGAAAATTTAAACAATTGCATAACATCGTGAAAAGCCAAAGCTTGTACACAAATCTTGTTGTGTAGCTTGTTACAAATCTTGTATCCTACAGTTATGCAATTCAGGATTACATTTCTTTGTTTACGTACATGAAAACTATTTTTGCACTTAGAAAAAAAGAATAAAAAAAACCCTGTTAAGCGAAATTATATTCATAAAAAAGTCTGTAATGTCCAACATAAGCTGGACAAGATGACGATTAAATAGCATGGAATGCATTTCGAGGATGTAATATTGATGTGAAAATACATGCATATTTTATTTTTTAAACTTTCACCTTTAACTATGTGATATGTATTGCATTTTCGTGATCATTACAGCATTTATATAAAGAACACGTTTCATGTTATTTTTTTCATGTATAACCATTATTATGGATAATTGTTAAAATTAATAGTAAAAATTTTAAAAAAATCGAAATATAAAAGTTAATAATGCTGGAGTTATATATATCATAATCTAAAATACTAAGATAAAAAAGTATGTAGATTTTCTTAACAATAACTAATCGTTTATAATTTGTTCTGTGTGTATGGTTTACCTTTTCAACGCAAACACTACACTTTGCCTTGCACGATTTTTGCCCGGCAGAGCTTTATCCCTGATAATGGGCTAAAGAGAGAATTTTTGGAAAGCACCTTGATGCATTTCACTCTTGGCATCAAAAAATTCCTCCCTGGGATTCGGTGATTTTTTGCAATTCATGATAGCGGAAACAATTGCGCCAAGTACCGCTTATCGGAGATTTCCCCTGAAAAAAATTGACAATTTTCTCCAAGGTGTACCCTGAAATATATTTTCCTGGACAATTAAATGTGACATATTAATTCTTGTATCTGAGATAACATTTGTAAGTTTATATAATTTATAATTGTTTTGTAACATTTGTAAGTTTATATAATTTATAATCCTATTTTATTTTTTTATTTTAGGATTTGAGAAACCATCTGCTATTCAACAAAAAGCTATAAAACCTGTTATAAAAGGGCATGATGTTATTGCTCAGTAAGTTAATTTTTATTATCTTGTGATGGGTAAATATTTAAAAAAATTAAAAACAATCATTTAGCATTTTGAGTATGTATTTTGTTTATAAGTAAATAAAATTGCATTTCTTGTATACCCTATAATTTAGTGTGTAGTAATTTTAATGCTGTGTACTTAAAAGTTTTATTGTTTCTTTCCATTGTGTTTACCTTTTAAAAAATTCCGCTTTTCAATTTTAAATGCATCATGTAGGAAATGGTATTGTGTGCAGTGTTATAAGATCATGTGATTTTTCTCCACTTTGCTATATTTGACAAACCTGTGCTGTTAAAATTTATCTCTGTGATTTTGCAAATTTTCTGTTACTCCATCAGGAAGCACTTCTGCAAAGAACCCGCTAAATGTAAACACTGCCAACAATGACGATAAGAGTTCAAAATTGGTAACCCAATGGGGGATTCGCATGTTCAGAGGTAACAACTATTCCTCTTATGCTACATGGAGGTAGGAAATAAGAGGAGTGGCCCTACCTGGTTTTCCCCATGCGCTGCTTCGAAGCAGTGGAGACCAAAACATTCAATGACTTGCCATTAAAATCAATAGGTTTTTGACATGATCGGAGGTAAACATTTTTTAATTACTTCATAAATATACATACAGTCAAAAGTCGTTAATCCGGACACCCATAATTCGGAATGATCTATAATCCGGACCTCAAAACTAAAAACTTTCTGCGCATGCGCCGCGTTGACACATGCGCATAGGCGTTTACGCGTGCACGTAAGACCTTTTATGACTGCGCATATGAGTGTGCGCAAGTGCAGAATACGTTTTCGCGTGCGCGTTTTATGTATAATGGACGTATAAGCTAAAATTATCTAATTATCTATTTCAGTTAATGTTAATGATTGCGTTGTTCCTTAATTTAAAAATTGGATCCGGCTTATTATTTTTTGCAGACTGTAAGAGCAATTTTATAAAAGTAAGCTTAAACTTTCGATTATATCAAATAGAATTTCTGATATATATTTGTTAATATGTAAATGATCTACAAAGCGAAAGTATGTTTCGAAGTCCATTATACAAAAAATGGATAAAGGCATATCCTTTGTTTATCTAAACTTTAACGTTTGTTTATCTTTAACGCCGCGGGGCCACGCAATGAATTGGAAGTTGATGTGTCAGCACTATCCTTATCTTCAGGGCAGATGTTTTTATTTTATTTGGCTTATAATTCCTTATTAAATGTAGTATTTCATCTCGATGTACTCCATCTTTGATATGATTTAAATCAAATTCCTCGTCATTATAATTCGCTTCCGATAGCGAAGAAAGTAACAGAGGTTATTAAAAACGAAAAAATTTCAATTGACAAATTAGTCGGTATTCTCGACACAGCAATTATAGGACTTGAACAGCGGAACTTTGTAACTGAAAAAGAAATTATGTCTGTTTAAAGAATTAAAGAGAATGTATTATCACATAAAAAATGAAGCAAATTAAACAACTTACATTGAAGAAATGTTTAATAAGTAAAGTAAAACAAATAATGTTAAGCTTTTTTTTTTTTTTTTTTTTTTTTTTTTGTAAATTTTGATACCCTTTAGATCATAATTGTTCTTTATTTCATAAATTACGGTTTCATATTTTTAATTTTATAATTTCTGCATGCCATCTTACCAGATTTAAACTGATGATCGATAATCCGGAATCGCCGAAGTCCCGATGAGTCCGGATTAACGACTTTTGACTGTATTAAAATTATTTTATAATTAACAGTAATAATTTAGTTGAATTTGAATGAAACTTGCAGTCTTAAGTCGTGAGTGCACGTGCACTGAATTTCCAACAATATAGTAAGATTCCTGAAGTCAGATTACAGCTGCAGTGTTAACTAAAAAGTGACTTCTGAGTAACTTGAAAAAATTCAGCTCGTTCTTTCAAAATGCTGGACTTAAAATGCCTGTGTTTGAGAATTAGCCGGAAAGAATGAAAACAGACAAAAATAAATAATGGTACTTTTTTGACCATATTAGTCAGCTTCCCAAATCAGAAGATTAGTCGCTAGAATTGGCAAACTTAATTGGTGGCTTTTTAACATGCATTGCATTTAGTTTTCAGACTGTCTTGATTGCGAAATTGTCAATTACTTTGACTGCATGATATTGTTCCTGTGTTACTTTTTCTCTCTAAAATATTGGTCATTTTTAACTTCCCGTCAAGTGAAAATGGATGACGTTTTTCCTTCCCCCATTTAAGAACATAAAATTTTGCATACTGAACAAAAGTGGCCAATAGTTTTTTGGAAGGTGAAATATTTGGGGATACAAATTGTGGGCAGGGAAAGACTTCATGCCAATAATTTATTTCATGGTTTCAGGATTCCTTTTTTGACTGCTTTGTGTTCATTGAAGAACTAATTTCGATCAAATGGCACAATAGTCAGTTAAATATGGGTGAAGCATGAGAAAATGTCAGTATTTGATTCTATAATAGTAGCATTTGCCAGATTTTGTCCTTTATAAAGATAAATAAATATTATTTTACTGTATATAATTGCAGTTTTTCATTTTTGAAATTTTCCATGTTTTTCTAATTTCCACCAAATTAATTTTAAATGCCAAATTAAAAATTAGAAATACATTAAAAAATAAACTAAGATTGTTAACTTTAAATTTTGAAACATATTGAGAAGCATTCTTTTGAAATAGTGCATTTAAAGCAGTTAAAAGGGCACTAAATTCTTCAGAACCTACACTGTGCTTTTCTTGAATCGGTTAACCATTGAATACTTTCAGTAGTGTAGAAAGTAATAGAACTTGGAAGTTAGAAAAGTTAATTTTCATGTCGGCAATTCAGCCCCAGTATAACATTTGACTGTAAGTTTTTTAACACACACGTAAAGCTGCCTTCTGGTGCTCATTTTTAACTCGCATATTTAAATTCATTTTCCCTACATATTTGCAATGGTTTTCCTATGCTGCTATCACTTTTATTCCTGAAAAAACAACCAGTCAAAATTTTCTACTAAAAACTATGTTGCACACCCATGTTCAATAAAGTATCTGAAGGGTTAATGCAATTTGAATCACTGGGAGTGGCAAAATTTTAATTAGTACCATGTTTAATTGGATGTGAGAGACTTTTTCTTTCTTCTGGGGTGACTGATCTTTCTGACCCCAGCATCCTTACCTTGATTAAAGGCTTCTTATGAGCCCCCTTTTTCCTTATTTAAGACCTGTATTGGCAATTGCCGGAAAAAAATATATTTCAAGGTACACCGTACCCCTTGGTTAAAATACCCAAAAAATATATAACTTCAATAAACTGCATTTTAAATCAAACAAGGAAATATTATAATAATGGAAACACATGTTATCTAATCTACGCAGTACACAAAGGAAATATTGACTTATTTAAAAATTTCTGTTTCTTCGATATGTGTGGCACGCATAATTCTTTAGCAGCATCTAAAAACTATTTAAAATTATCTAAACTAAAATCTGTATACTGCGGTCGCCACATAAATCCACAAAAGGAAAAATGAAAAATATCCTCCGGAGTGTCGGTAGCATTTCTTTTCGCAAATTCGTCTTTATTACACCCCACATATTTTCCATAGTGTTGATATATTTAAATCTCACTGCGTAATTTACCAAGAGGTGAATGAAGCCATTTAAATCTTCATTTACACACCAATCGATCAATGTTTTCTTTCCCAGTCATTCTAAAGTGTGCAGAAACTTCAGATTAAACCAGCAGGCATTTTACAGAGTAAAGCACAAAATAATCAACTTACTTACTAACCAGCATCCATACCTAAGTAAGCCCTTACAAATATATTCCCATCAGTCAAAATCACCACAATCACATACTACAACCAATCACGTCATAACAGGGTTTCCTTAACATTCAACTACTCAGGTTACCATAAATGAAACAACAATTTGGCCGATAATCCGAGGGGTACCCTAAAATATAGACTAGCCCAATTGCTGTCTTTTAGCTGACAAAAAAAAGTTTACCAAGTACTAAACCATCTGCTGCCATCAAATCTAAGACCCCTCTCAACTACAGGCTTCTGAAAATTTTTGTTGACTCTTTCCTCGTATTTTCTTTTGCATATATTTACTGACACTCAGCAACTTTTAAATTTTACCACTAATTCAAAAAGTTGTTCTAGCTTACCAGTTTTTGAGCTCCAAAAAATCTTGAATATGCAAGAACAGCGTGGGCAGGGGGGGCCCAAGAGCGATGCGCAGTGCAGGGAGAAAGTTATGCCACATACGCATGACGTCATGTGGGGGATAGCGTTAGTTCTTGGCGTTTGTTTACTTTCGTTGCATCAACAGTTTGATTTGATTTGTGTTGTTAATTTGCTATTATACCTAGGCGGAAGTGGCAAATTGTGCTATAGCGTAGTGTCAGAATTATACACGTTAATACGTTTTTTGGCGGAAAACACTCTTTACAACCAGATAAAATAACTATTTTTAATGAATTTATGTAGTTTTCATACATAACCGTGATGTAATTTTACATTTATTTTTCATTTTACTGCTATTTTACATTTAAATTGAAAAAATTTCTCATTTTAAATCATTTTTTATCATAATCTTCATTTTGTGTATGAGACTTACATCGTAGTGAGATATTTAAATTCAGTGTCATTAACAAAACTGAGTACCTGAATGATTAGTTAATAAATTCGCGTATCCAACTTCATTCACATGTTTTGGTTACTTTCTTTACATCCCAAACGTAATTCTATGTATTGAAGCAGCGTCTGGGTTAAGCTTTGCGAACTAAGTAAACTGAGACATGCCTCACCGTGAGGAAAGAGCAATTTCTCAACCAGACTATGATGCAAACATCGAATGAGTGAGTGACATATTTCCTTCAGTGTTATTTAACTGATGCATACAGGTATGTGTGGTGTAATTTAATTGATATAACTTACACATGCTTGAACCTGAAGGAAAACAAATCTGTGTATAATGCTAGAATACAAATAGCGAAAGAGTAAGTAAAATATTCTGTTCAGTGTTATTTAACAGCTGCATATGTTTTAATTTTGATTCCATGTAACTTGTTTTTAATTATAAGAGAAAGAAAAATAATTCAATATTGAACACATATTTTGAGTATAACAAAAGTATTTTAAGAAACAACCTGATAAAAATACATTAGTAATTAAAAATATTTAATTTGTGTACAGACTGAATTGAAATTAAGATGTGGTGGTGTATTTAATTATGGCAAAGCACACTAGGGCTATCTGCGTAATAGGGGTGTGATGCCTTCGTGGAGGACTTTCTCAGAGGAAACTGGCTCGTATACACGTTACACATGAGGAAAACCACGAAAAACGCCCATGCAGCCAGCCCATTCGCGGGATTCGGACCGAACTACCAGTGTTCAGCGACTTTACCGCTCGGCCGCTGGTGGGCCGAAACTAAGATGTAGGGCAAGTTTATTATTATTATTGTGCGTATATGTGTAAGAAAATGTATTTTAATTGTTCCATTTTTAATGTATGGAAGGAAGAATAGGATGCCAATATCGAAGATTATTTACTATAGCAAATAATCACGTCAGGATAAATGTTATATAGAAATCTTGGGAGTGTAAGGGATTATAAGAGTACTTTTAGATTATACTGAAAATATATGCACTTCTGCTAAAATCTGAAGTGAATCAGTATGAAGTGACTTTAAAAAGAATGCGATAAGTATACTATTTAAAAGTATAATGACGGATATTAGAAATTTGTAGAATTTATGGTAGTTAAATATGAATTTATTAAGTCAAATCTTTTTTATATAGATTTTTGGTTGAGATATGTAATTTAAACTGAAAAACACGATCATATATTTCTCATGAATTATTAAAGTTCATTTGTATTAAAAAAAGTGCATGAGCATGAAAATAAATAGAATAATACTTTTTGATTATGTTTTTACCATGGTCTTAGCAGTTATGCCATCATGTGTTCTTTTCAACAAGATTTATTTAGTGCAAACAATACTACGAAAAAATATTGAAAAATACCTTGTTTTACAATATTTATTTCCCTTAATTAACTTAAATATCGTTTTTCATTTTCTAATGCTTTCCTTTACGAAAAGAATTTAATGTTTACAATTATTTTCAGCATTCGTACGAATTCTGTGCATAAAATAAATATTTTCTTTAACAAAATACTTAATCGGAAAGTATATACCCGGTATTTCCGGTGTATCTACCACATATAAAATGATCATTTTGCTTTAGTTTACATTTTTTCCATTACCAAAATCATGTAGCAGACGCGTCGGCCGATGCATCTTGTCTCCCGGGTGACGTCACTACCAGCAACCAATGGCACGCTTTTTCCGTTCCTGGCCTAACCTTAGTATATTAAAGAACCTTGCAGCGTGGGTAGTGATAACTGAATAACTTCATCTTTCCCCCCCCCATACAACAAATTTACGACCTGCACCTTCCTTAATAAAATCTGTTAACTCATCTGCTTTTCTGTGGTATTTTCTGGTATTTATAATAAAGTTCCCAATCTAACTTCACTATATTTTTCACCACAGAAAATCCTTTCAAATGTGCAGTTTTAAGTACTTAAAACTTATAATTGTCACTTCATGGTTCACCTAGTAAATATTTTCTGATAACCTTTAAATTGATTTAGGGCTCTACCTTGTAGCGCAGCGTTGCTATGGTCACCTTTTGCAATTCTGCATTGGCTGTAATAAAAAATGCATTTCTAAATTTTCCAAAAAGGATCAATACCAAACTTCTGCTTTTCGATTTTCTGCATAGTTTCATCGAGGTGTATGTACTATCTAAGCTGAAGCTTTTCATTGGATTTGCTGGTACCATAGGAACTTGGAGTTGAGTGTATCATACACTAAAATGGTGCATTAACTACTACACTAATGGTAAATTATCATTATAGTTTAAACAACTCACAAAATGCTGTTAACCTCAAGTTAAAATAGCCTTTTATTTAGTCATATTCTTTGGTTTTTGGTGATGTAAAGAGTATTTTCATAGTGTAAAACATAATTGCCTGTCAAAAGTGATCATACGTGATCTAAATGAAACCTAAATTTAATGGTTGCTTTCCTTGAGCTAAGCAAAAAAACAAATGAACAGGATATACAATCAAAAGTCGTTAATCCGGACTCGTCGGGACTTCGGCGATTCCGGTTTATAGATCATCAGTTTAAATATGGTAAGATTGCATGCATAAATTATAAAATTAAAAATATGAAACTGTAATTTATGAAATAAAGAGCAATTATGATCTAAAGGGTATCAAAATTTACAAAAAGAAAAAGCTAAATATTTATTTGTTTACTTTATTAAACATTTCTTTCAATGTAAGTTGTTTAAGTTGCTTCGTTTCATGTGATAATACTTTCTCTTTAATTCTATTAAACAGACATAATTTCTTGTTTAGTTACAATGTTCCGCTGTTCAAGTCCTATAATTGCTGTGTCGAGAATACCGACTAATTTGTCAATCGAAATTTTTTCATTTTCAGTATCTCTGTGTCACTTTCTTTACTATCGGATGCGAATTATGATGACGAGGAACTTGATTTAAATCATATCAAAGACCGAGTACATCGAGATGAAATACTACATTTAGTAAAGAATTATAAGCCAAATAAAATAAAAACATCTGCTCTGAAAGCTAAGGATAGTGCTGACAGATCAACTTCCAATTCATTGCGTCGTTTCCTCCCCCCGCAGAGCAGCGTGAAATTGATAAACATATTTCAGAATGATTAGGTAATCAAAGGCTATGCCTTTATCCATTTTTTGCAGCAATTCCATTTTCTGTTTAATGGACTTCGAAACATACTTTCGCTTTGTAGATCCTTTACATATTAGTAAATATGTATCAGAAATTCTATTTGACATAATCGATAGTTCAAGCTTACTTTTATAAAATTGCTCTAACAGTCTGCAAAAAATAAAAAGCCGAATCCAATTCGAAGATTAAGGAACAACGCAATCTGCAACATTAACTGAATTAGATAATTTTAGCTTAGCTTATACCGTCCGTTATACATTAAACACGCATGCATAAACATATTATGCGCATGTGCAGAAAGTTTTTAGCAACTTAACTGGTATAAGCTGCTGCATTATATCAGTAGAGTCTAATTGCTGATTCATGTAGGTCAGCAGGTACTTGACTGCCATTCCATGCAATACTTCCTATAAATGCAGTCCAGGACACTCTGCTAGATTCCTATTCCTAATCTAGTCTTTGACGCCTATATTCCATGTCAGGATTACGTTTATCACATTGCTGCGCCATGCTGGAGAGAATCATGGCTACTGGTCGATAACCAGAAAGAAACATGCTCGGATAGGCACATTGGGATGATTTACAGTCTTCACATACTATTGGCAGAATTGTACAATGTTGAACTTTTCACCTCTTCAGCACTGTGCAGATGCAATAGAAAATGCACATTTTCCAACAAGTCTTAAATTGAGCAGAATTGGCACAACTTGTGCTATAAATGACATTTCCACCACTTGTGGGTATTTAAATTAATATAACAGACAATTCAGATATAGATGATGTAGTCTAAGACTACACATAACATAGACTAAATTAAGCTGGCTTAATTAGTTATACTAAATTACCGACACCATATTTTAAAACATTGGCTAATAAGGCACTTAAGCTGGAATACAACTTTAAACAGAGGTGGCAAAAGTAAGAGCAAGATATAGTAGCCACAAGCTCTGAGCTAAACATTCAAAACCCTTGAGTTAAATATACACAATTCTAATTTGTATTCTAGTGAGAAATATCCCCACCCCTCAAAAAAAGTTATAGTAAGCACATGTATCATCACAAGAATCAACATAAAATACATTGCTGGTACTCAGTGCAAATAAATATTACACAGTAGCAAATCATAAAATGTGTTTGTATGTGCTGCCCTTATAATTTGCCTTCAAAATTACTTTGAAGGATATGAATGTAATAGAACTACTTTTATAAAAACAAATAAATTCTGTACTACAATATGTTAAAACATAAAATTAAAAATTTAGTTAAATTTATTGGTATCAATTAATTTTAGTTAAAACTGAAAAAGAAATGTGGTGGTTTTTACAGTGAAAAAGCTGATAGAGAGATGGCTGAGAAGGAAAGTATTTTGATTGGCAATTAAGTGGAAATTCTCAAAGCAGTAGTTAGAGAACGTGAAGAACAGAGCTTTGTAACTGAATAAAAAATTATATCTTAATATATACTGAATAAAAGGGAAAGTATTGCCATAAAAAAAGCAACTTTAAACAACTTGCATTGAAAGAAATGTTTTAATAAAGAAAACAAATTAATTTTGACTTTTTTCCCAAGGTTATAAATGCTTCATTATTTTTTCATAAACCACTAGTTCGGGTTTTTAATTTTGTAATTTCTACATGACACGTTACTAGATTTAAACTAACAATCTAATATATGGAAGCATCCCAAATCCGAAATTGCCAAAGTCTCAGTTAGTCTGGATCTTGGACTATGTACTGTATATTATTCATTTTTATATGTGATTTATATTCATTTTTATATGTGAAATATTGCAAAATTTTAAGTTGTTAATGAAAAAAAGCAGGCACTACTAAAATTTCATTTCTTAAATCTAGAGCGCAGTCTGGGACCGGTAAAACTGCAACCTTTTCCATTGGAGCTTTACAGATCCTTAATACAAAAGTGAGAGAGATACAAGTTCTTATATTAGCTCCAACAAGAGAACTTGCTGTCCAAATTCAAAAAGTATGTGCATTTAGTTTCTTTTTTTAATATTTTATACAATACTTTTGTTATCTATAATTTGTGTTATTTGTATGTTGGGGAGAGTGGCCAGATTCATGTTAGTATTCTGAATTTTACCTTATGAATTTCATTAATGAGTATAAATTGTAAATCCAAGAGAAATATAATAAATATATAAGTATGGGAGCAAAAAATTGTATTCTTTATACTCATTGTTAATGCTGTGTCTTATTACTTTGGTAATATTACAGATACTTAAAATTATATTCTTAGATTTATTTTGTTCTAAAAATTCTGATTATCATAGGCTATTTGAACATTTAATTTGCATACATTTTACATTAATTATAGTCTTCGTTCTATATTCGTAAGTTCATTAGTCGTGTTTAATTAATGAGTTGCCAACTCTTTCGGTTTGGGTGGGAGATTAAAAATTATTACGAATTTCATTTGTTTAAGAACTACCATTTTTGTTTTAGTTAAGTCTGAGAAAAAAGTAAAATACTCATGAACTTTTCAAAAACTGTACATAGATGACTTTTCTATTATTTTTTCAAAAAAATGTGTTGTGAATTTGCGATGTGTCTCATTCATCATTGCGATTTTTAAAATTCCTACAGTAGAAAGACGGAGGTTCTTAAACATGCATTTACAAAAAAACGCAAGGACAAAGTGAGTAGTATTGGGTAAGGGAAATAAAATTTTCTGTGGGAACAAACATTGTTAATGCAGAATACCTGTTTTTGTTGCATGCCAATTAATGCATTGGATCATGTTGCAGGTTTATTTAGAAATCTGTTTTTGAACAACAAAATCATTAAAAAAATGCAAAAGTACAGGGACAAATACAGCTGCAGTTGTTGAAAAATAAATTTTCAGTTATTGATTGCATTAAAACAGCTTTATTCTGCCTGTCTACAAATAGAAGCAGTAATACCGAGGCAACACTTTGTCCAATTGTTGTTTTTTTCTTTAATCCAGTCTTCAGAAATTTAGTGTTGCGTACATTCTGTCTCCACTTTAGAAGGAGATTTTACAGGCTTTAATAGCGAAGCTAAAGAAATGCAATTCATGTGGATAATTGCTTAGTACTTGGTGCCCACAACACACCAGTAATGGTAGGCTTAAAGACTAGTGTTGCAGGCTCTTAACCTTTTCAGGACGAGCGTCCCATATATGCATTCCCTAAGAACGTCTTATCCACGCATCACTAGAGATTGCATTCAGAGGAAGGAAGATGCGTATACACATTTTAAGCTGGAACGTTTTTCTGAAGACCATTAAATGGCATCCTAAGACCATTAGTTTTGAAATGAACGCAGTTTTAGGTTCCTGACCTTGAGTTTGATATATTCTGCTTGACTCTGGTATTTACACATCAGCTCTTACGAGGATGGGGGCAAGGGAAAGCGTAAACAGAGGTGAGCTCTTTAAATGGCTGCGTGCTAATGAAAACATTCGCATGTCTGATTTATATCCAATTCCTTTTTTTATTCTATTTTTTTCTTCTACTATGTACGGTCTTTTAGGGTTAGTATGTGGAGCCTTGTTACGTTTTGCATTGCTTTCAGATATATTTCTGTTTCTTCTCTTTTTATTTTGGAAAGCCTCACCTCCAGTCTATTATGGCGGGAAAGCACTATTTATCAAAGGAAGAATATGCTCGTATGGTCAATGAACTATTCACTAACGCAGATGAGAGTGATGATTCGTTTTCTAAAGAGTTAGAAAGTGATATTTCTCCGTGCTTCGAGATTTACCACACTCAGTCTTCATTTAAAATTTTGTTCCTTCTTACTGTAAATAGTCTTTATTGTGTTGTTTTATTTAATTTTAAACTTTATTGATGGATTTTATCAATTACAACTTTGAAATAATTTGAATAAGCTTCCGAAAATTATTTTCCAAGATAAGCAATTTTTTAAGTATATTTTTGTGTAAAATAAAGAAAAAAAAAACATTATTAATGCTAATTTTAACATGTATAAGAGCTCAAGTAATAATCTAAAATGATACCAAAAATTACGATGCTAGAAGCGAAACTTTTTTTTCTGATTTTTTTTATAAAATTAGGCTTAGCAATGCAAAACCTCTGTCCTGTACGTTGACTGCCTTCGATTCCCTTCCATCCCACACGAGTGTCTTAAACAAAGGTGCACAGTCGCGAAAGGGTTTTAATGTTAGAAAATTTGCATTTGCAAATTATGAGCTGAACCTATATTCTACATAGTAATGCAGAGTCCGAGAGGATTTTCAGTATTGTTACTAAGACAAGGACTAAATTTAGATCTAGTATTAGTAATGCCACAATAGCAAAACTTTTATTAGTAAAAGCAGGCCAACACCAGAGAGTTTCTTTCACGGTGAAAGCAAAATTTGCCCGTTCTTAGCATTTGTATAAGAACTGGTTTAAGTATTATTATTCTATCAAAATATACAAATGATAAAAATGTCTTTTGCACGTAAGTATTTTTGTACTATTTGCATTTAAGAATTAGTAACTGAACTTTAAGCATTTAATTAGTTATTATTTAAATTCTTTATTAAAAAGTGTATTTTCTTTGTATATATTTTTATCATTTAACAACTATTTGTCGTTGAGAAAGTTCTGATTTCGTAGAAAAGTCTCCTGATTTTTTAGTTTTGTAAGTGGCAAGTCTGTTATTGTACTGGTGTGATCTGAGAACTTGTCATTAGCAGGTTCACCCTCTGACTTGTGATCGACATACTCACAAGTGTTGATCACAAGTGCAGAGGTCACTAGTCCTTTGTAGCACAATTAACTGAAGCCTGTAATCATTACCAAGCATAGTGTTAAAATAAAAAGCTACCATGCTATTTGATATTCAGTTACTAATGTTTTAAATAAAAATTTCATTGGGACATCACTGTGTGAGTTATCTCTCAAGCTGCCATGAGTTTATACGGTCAAAAGTCTTTAATCCGGACTCTTCGGGACTTCAGCGATTCCGGATTATAGATCATCATTTTAAATCTGGTAAGATGGCATGCAGAAATTATAAAATTAAAAATATGAAACCGTAATTTATGAAATAAAGAGCAATTATGATCTAAAGGGTATCAAAATTTACAAAAAAAAGCTTAATATTTATTTGTTTACTTTATTAACATTTCTTTCAATGCGCGCATGCGTAAAGCATACGTTACGCATAGACAAAATTAGAAAATTGCAACCAGAAAACTATTTGATGTGTATTCGTGATCTTTATAATGACGAGGAATTTAATTTAAATCATATCAAAGATGGAATACATTGAGTTGAAATACTACATTTAGTAAGGAATTATAAGCTGAATGAAATAAAAACATCTGCCCTGAAGATAAGGATAGTGCTGACAGATCAACTTCCAGTTCTTTGCGCTCCGCGACGCATGCGCACACGCATATGCGCATGCGTGAAAGCATTATGCTTTGATGCACGCCGCAGAAAGTTTGTAGCTTTGAGGTCCGGATTAACGACTTTTGGCTGTAGTCATTGTGATGAAAGGAAAAAAAACCCTGAAAGAGTTCAGATTTTAAATTACGTCCAAAGGGGCGTTTTGTGTGTTACCTTTATTTATTAAATATCATGTTCTTTGCACTTAAACCATAACATTTATTTATTATTAGTTTTATTTAGTGCTGAACTGAAATTATGAATCAGGATTTTACATCTTTTCTTGTCAATGGTATGTGGTGAAGAGCAGTGGTATAGCTTTCAATCAGATACCTTTTCAAAGCTGAACTAAATCTCTGTCCACAAGAGTGAATTATGATATGGTGCTTTAAAAAATAAAATTCTGTTGGCTTTTATATATCTGTGCAAGAAAGGGTCTAATGAAAACAAATGATAGATCGAGTTGATTTACGTGCCAGTCTAGGTTACTAGCATACATCCAAACATAGAACAGCTGTGTAAGAACTGGCAGGTTCATTCATCTTGTTAATGGAAACACCAGTGTTTATTCAATTTTTAGTTAATAAGATAAAGATTATCCAATTTCTAATTTAATTTTAGTACAGTTTTCAATTTTTCAATATAACTGTTCTGCTATGAACTTAACTGATTAATACTAATATAAAATTAAATGAATTTTAATTTTATTGTATTTAAAAAATATAAGTGTGCTGATTGTAACATATGCTAAGAATGAAAGACTTGTAGCCAGAGTTTTGTTGCAGATACACAGCTTTGAAATACTAAGTTCTTTCATTTCATGTAGCTTTTATTAAGTTTTGTTTTATATTAAAATAAACTTAAGGAAATATTATTAGTTTTCTTTATGTTTTTTAAAAATATGTAACACAATTATGATTTTTAAAGGGCATTTCATGGGAGAAAATGGTTAGAACTTATTTGTCATGTATCTGTTGTTTCTGAAAATGTATTAATAAATACTATACTGTAATGGTTGAACAATTTCAGGTAATTTTAGCCTTAGGGGATTACATGAATGTGCAGTGTCATGCTTGCATTGGAGGAAGAAATCTTGAAGAAGATATGCGCAAGTTAAATAAAGGACAACATGTTGTTTGTGGTACACCTGGACGAGTATTTGGTATAATACCTTTCATAAATGTCTCTCCTTCTTTTTCATCCCCTTTCTTCTAGAACAGGGATTCTTGTCAGAGTCAATGATGACTAATGAGTAGAATAGGGGTTGATAGCTGACTGTGTATCTAGTAATGATCAGTGTAATGAATTGTTTATTGATATAAAGTTATATCAGGTATTAAAAAAGAAATCACATAAAATGAACACAAGTGAAAAAATGCAATAAAATTATTTGATATATTTTAAATATATAAACTTTTTATGCAGCAAATGCAGTATAAAAAGTAAAAGGCAAAAACATATAAAAACCCAACCAAAAAAATGCAAAGAAAGCAATTCTCTACAGCTTAAACTTGATGTGATTGTCCGTTATTTAAAAATATTGTTATTTCCTCAGAAGATATTACGTATATACCACTTGCAAAACTTGACACATTGACTGGCATTTTTACTCAGTTTATCTCATGTCATCGTCTATTATTTTGTAATTGGATGTGGAAGTGAAACAGTATAAATCAACTTTTTTATAGCGGTTCCATATAAATAAACATTATTTTATATTTAACTTTTAACATTTAGGGGGGGCCCACCAGCGGCCGAGCGGTAAAGTCGCTGAACACTGGTAGTTCGGTCCGAGGTTTGAATCCCGCGAACGGGCTGGCTGCATGGGCGTTTTCGTGGTTTTCCCCATGTGTAACGTGTATACGAGCCAGTTTCCTTTAGAAAGTCCTCCACGAAGGCATCCCTCCCCTTAGGCAGATAGCCATCGAGGCTTTGCCATAATCATACACACACACATTTAACATTTAGGGGGGGGAGATTATGATAAATGAGGTACTCATAACAAGAGTTAACTCATGTCCAGTGAACAGTGTGTATTGTGACAAGAATATTTTTATATATGCTTCCAAGGCAATGAAAATTTGAAGGTGCTAATATGCCTCACAGAACTGCTGAACTGTCATATAACTGATCTTGATATTATGATGCAAGATGAATGGTTTGAAGGAGGACTCCAGAATAGACAAATACACTAAGTTTTGGAATTTAAAAGTCATCTGTAATAAATATCCCAAAATAAAAGTTGTTACTGAACTAATATCATTTACTTACACTCTTCTGATCTAAAGGAAGCAAATCAAGTCTGTAATTTAGTATCAAAAACAAGAAACATGTTGGATATTTTTGAATGAAAATTATCATTTTCATTTTACTCCTGAAAAATTATCATTTTCATTTTACTCCAACTGATAAAAAATATATCAAATGTAGCCATCACATTAATTAAAGTAGAAGTTTTAGGCAATTAGAATCTGTGATTTTTGTTTCTGAAAGCTTGTTTAGATTTATAAAATTAAAAATAATAATAGTAATATAAAAAATAATAAAACATAAATCTAATAAACTATTTTTTTGTCTAAACTTTTGCTCATATTCTTAGTCCAGTTATTATTTCTCAGTTATTTAGGTGGAGTTATTTTTGTTATGATTAAGTTGTGTGCTGCATATGCAGAGAAATATGTAGAGGGTCAATGAAAAAAGTATTCTTTTAAAAAAAAGTCTATGCAAGAAGAAGGTTGTGAGTAATTAAGCTCTACAGAGCATTTATCTTTAAATTTTTTTTTTCAACATTTGAAATTTCTAAACCCGGATTTTCTGTTTTTATTTTAGATATGATTCGAAAAAGGAGTTTGAAGATGCGTTCAATCAAAATGCTTGTATTAGATGAAGCTGATGAAATGCTGAACATAGGTAAATATATATATGTAATAATAATTCTGCAGATATCCAGATGATGCTTTAGAGTGCATACACAGAATTATAGAGATGAGTAGATACATGTTTTGCATAATGAAGAAAAACTAGCAGTCATTGCTGGATGATAGCAAGAATTTATATTTCTTCTTTTCAGTCACACATCATCTTTATGGGTGTGCTATGCATCCCATAATTCTGTAAAGCTTACAACTTTTTAGACAAAGGGCAAAGTGGAGCAGTAAACTGTATGTTGCTAGACATCTGGTGAGGCTGGGAAAAAGGTCTGCACATAAGAAGAAGTAATATTTATAGATTCGATTACTTCGTTTAAATTATGGATCTGCAATTGGGTATGATCTGTTGCTATGCAAAAAGATTGCATAAGCAAGCATAAAATAAAAAGAGGCAGTTCAGAAAATTATTAAAGCAATTGCTATTTTTTGGAACAGAAAGGAAATAAGCAAATTAAAATGATGAGTAAATAGGACTACAGTTAAAAGTTAAAAGTCTTTAATCCGAACGTCTATAATCCAGAATGATCTATAATCCGGACCTCAGAACTACAAACTTTCTGTGCATGCGTAAACGCATAATACCTTTACGCAAGTGCATATGCATTTACGCATGCGTATTTAATGTATAACGGACAGTATAAGCTAAGCTGAAATATATAATTTCAGCTTAGCAGCTTAATGACTATTTCAGTTAATGTTGCAGATTGCGTTGTTCTTTAATCTTCTAATTGGATGCGGCTTATTATTTTTTGCAGACTGTTAGAGCAATTTTATAAAAGTAAGCTTGAACTTTCAATTATGTGAAAAAGAATTTCCGATTCTGAAGCTGACGAAGGATCTACAAAGCGAAAGCATATTTCAATATCCATCAAACAAAAAGTGGAATTGCTGCAAAAAATGGATAAAGGCATATCCTTTGTTTCTCTAACCATTCCGAAATCTGTTTATCAATTTCACGCTGCTCTGTGGAGGGGGAGGGGGGCTCAATGAACTGGAAGTTGATCTGTCAGCACTATCCTTATCTTCAGGGCAGATGTTTTTATTTTATTTATCTTATAATTCCTTACTTAATGTAGTATTTCATCTTGATGTACTCTGTCTTTGATATGATTTAAATCAAATTCCTCGTCGTTATAAATATCACGAATACACATCAAATAGTTTCTGGTTGCAATTTTCTAATTTCGACTATCGTAATGAAGCTTTACGCATGCACGCATTGAAAGAAATTTAATAAAGTAACAAAAAATATTAAGCTTTTTTTTTTTTTTTTTTTTTGTAAATTTTGATACCCTTTAGATCATACCTGCTCTTTATTTCATAAATTATGGTTTCATATTTTTAATTTTATAATTTCTGCATGCCATCTTACAATTTAAACTGATGATCTATAATCCAGAAAAATTGATAATCCGGAATCGCCGAAGTCCCGACGAGTCTGGATTAAAGACTTTTGACTGTATTTGGAAAATTACAATTAACATTTTGAGATACATATTTGATATCTTGCATATCCCCACCCCCCTTGAAAGAGGCTTGGCAATAGAGAATGCTTTTTAAAGGGAAGCATTAGCAAAAGCAGGAAAACATAGTTTTGAAAAAAAAAAATCATAAAATTGTGATCTAAATTTTGAATATAACATTTTTGACTAATCACTGCAAATTTTAGAGTTCTGTTGAAATTTTCGGTTTAGTTTAAAAGTTTGCAAGTTCATTTTTCTATTAAAACATTATAAAGACTGTCCTAAATTTTTCACGAAATAATTAGAAAACGTTTACTGTTCTTGAGAATCTTTGCTTGAGTATTGTAATGTAATTTTAAGTCCTTGTCTTGAAAATCTTTTGTAAAAACTATTGTAATCACTATAAGAGCTAAAATTTTCTTATACATATTCATGAAATGCTATTAAAATTAATTATTTACTCATTATAAAAGAAACCACATTTTCTTGCTGTAAAGCAATGTAAAATGTACTTTAGAAATTAATAAGCTTAACGAAATGATAAAATGTAATACAATAACAAAATATCTTTTAATAAAAATTGGAAGATTCTAAAAGCAAATCAGTGTAACTACTTGCTGATGGATGCTTAAATACAATAGCAAATACAAACCTCTTTTCCTTATACAAGGTAACTGGCTTTTAGCATTGTATAAATGTATCAAAGTTATTAATAATGAGTTATGACCATACAATTCTTCAAATTGCATAACTGAAATAAAAATGCAGATATACAAAAGATTCATATTAAGACAGGTATCTTACACATTCAAGTAAGGTTTTACAAATTTTGTGAATAAAATTTTAGATAACCTCACAACAGTAATTTTTTTAAAAAGTCTTCATAAACAACAGTAAAATGACTTATAAAGTTTAGAGTCTTCATAAACGTATTTGTTCAGAAAGTTTTTTTTTTTGGGGGGGGAGGGCTCTCAAAAAATAATTCAGAATTTTTTAACAATAATTCAAATTTCTAATTTTTACTACAGTAATTTTTAATGACCTTCACTAAACAAAATAATCTTAAAATTCTTTGCTTACTTTATGATATCAAATCATTAAAATTCAAATTTCTAATACCCTAAAATTTTAGTCTTATATCTTCATAAAACTGTGCAACATTTTTTTTAATTCAGTATCATAAAAAAATTACATATTCAGTTAAAAATTACAAGAATTAATTAATAAATTACTTGAAAAAATGTAAATATACGTTATTTGCAAAATAATGAAATTAAGACTACTCAAAAAATTTATGCATACAAAACCTTTTAAAGAATTTATTGAATTATTAAACTTTCATTCTATCAATAATAAATATTTATTTATTTTTTCAAAACAGCAAGATCAAAATAAGTTTAAACAATAATATTTGGTTTGAACTTTAATGTCCTTATTATATTTCTCAATTCTATAGCACTGTTAAATAATTTCACATAATTATATTGAAAGAAAATAGTTATTTAGCTGTGTTATAAATAACATTTTCTGTTTACCATAAATCAAAGCATGAAAGTATGAAGTTGGTGAACATCACTTTTAACTGACGATTGAAAGCACTTTCGTGTATACACTGAGATTTGATGAGCTTGAAATTGATGCTAATATTTGATCTTAAAACATTAAATCAGTGATTATTTTGACAACACTTCCCCCCCCCTAAATTTCTTAATATTGAGGAGGTGGTTGAAAAATTCGAAACTGAATTAGCTATAAACTACCGTAGTAATTCGAAATTTTATTTTACTGAACGTTAGATCTTTTGGCCTTGCAGCTAAACAGGCACATTTATTTGAATTTTGTTGATAAACTGTAGTGAGGCACAGAGGCTCATTGGGATCAGAACAGGATCGTAGGATTCGGTCGACTCAATAATTGTAATGAATTTCGTAAATAACTTGAGGATTAGATGGTGGCTGTTATGGATAAGATGTTTGCCTGTCATTACTTGGAAAGGTTTTAATGCACATGATGAGATAATGGAAAAGAAAAGCTTTCAGGCATAGCAGTTCATTTCATCACAGAATTTTATTTTTGTAATATAGCAAGCCTTTATGTGTATAAATAGATTCACACATCATTTATGGCCTTGCTATGCACCGCACAATTCTGTAAAGCTTATGCGTTGAAGCATGTACATAATACCTTTATTCATGTGCAAAATACATTTGTGCACGCGAGTTTAATGTATAACAGATGGTATAAGCTAAGCTAAAATGATCTAATTATCTATTCCAGTTAATGTTGCAGATTCATGTTCCTTAATCTTCTATGGATCGGCTTATTTTTTGCAGACTGTTAGAGCATTTATAAAAGTAGATGAACTTTCGATTATGCAAAAAGAATTTGATTCTGGAGCGCCAAAGGATACAAAGTGAGCATTGTTTTGATGTCCATCAAACAAAAGTGAAATGCTACAAAAAGTGGATAAAGACACACCTTTGTTCTTACCAGCCGAAATCTGTTTATCAATTTCACGCTGCTATAGAGAGAAAAAACAGACGTGGCACTCAATGAATGGAAGTTATCTGTCAGCACTATACATTCTCAGGGCAGAGTTTTATTTATCAGCTTAAATTCTTACAAATGTAGTATTCGTCTGATGAACTCCGTCTGGATATAGTTAAATCAAAGTCTGTCATTTTAAAACTACGAAACAATCATAGTCTGGTGCAATTTCTATTGACTATGCGTAATGTATGTTTACGCATGCGCGCGTTGAAGACATTTTAAAAGTAAACAAATAAAATAAGCTTTTTTTGTAAATTTGATACCTTTTAGATCAAATGCTCTTTATTCATAATACGGTTCATAGTTTTAAATTTATAATTTGCATGCCTCTTACCAGATTTTAATGATGATCTTATCATACTCGTAAGGATTCAGCGATTCTGGATTAGCGGTTTTCCGGAGGATAGTGTAATAGGAGAGAATGCCAGGCTGCGTAAATGAAGGCACTTCCAGCAGATAGACATTTTACGAGGGGTATGGTGATCTGACTGAGAAGGGCGGGTTGTTCCTATGTCAAATTGCAGCTGCTACCCAATGGATGCGAGCACGGGCATTGGTATGACCGAACATGGTTGGAAAAGGAAAGTGGGAAGAAAGAGGGGGCAGGAGCAGCCAGAGTGAGTCGCACATATGAATCGAGCATCCGACAAGTGTGGCGGGTCCGCAAGTCCTTGTGTGCGTTATGCAGCTGGCAAGATACCTGGATATTCAGTGTCAACCAAACCATTCCTGCGATTTGTGAACGTGGCCTGCACTCACGGCGTCCATAAGAGACTGCCATTGATCTGAAGCTATAGAGCCAACGTTTAGAATGGTTGCGGACGGGCAGTATGGATGACAGAATAGCAAAACGCGTGTTCTCAGTGAGTCACGCTTCTGTTATCCAGTGACAGTCGACATACGTGTGTGGCGTCGAGGAGAAGATCTAATCTGGAATAATGTGGAATGCCCCACCACGCTACAACATGGCATAATGGTTTGGGGTGCTATTGTCTATGATTCCAGGTCACCTCTAGTTCGTATTCAGGGCACTATGATGGCCCAACTGTACTTGGATAATGCACTGCGACCGGTGGCAATCCTCTACCTTCAGGCGCTGCCTAATGCAATTTTTCAGCAGGATAACGCCTGACCACACAGTGCTCGCATCTGCCAACATGCTCTGCGAGATATACGGATGCTTTCCTGGCCACCGTACTGTCCTGACCTGTCACCAATCGAACATGTGTGGCATGTGATTGGACGCCGTTTGCAGACTCTGCCCCTGCCTCGTTCATGAAACAAACTGTGGCAAATGGTTGAAAGGGAATGGAGAACCATCCCTCAGGACACCATCAGCACTTATTGACTCTATACCTACACGTGTTTCTTCATGCATCGCTGTCCGCGGTGGTCGTACATCCTACTGAGCTGACGCCGTTCTCGCTCTGTATTCTGACTATTATTTTGAAATAAAGATCACTTATTGCTGCTTGTTGTCTCTGTCTTTTTTCCAAATTTCATCACTTTCTGACCACTCCTTCTTGGTGTTGCATTTTCAATGTCGAGCAGTGTATATATAATTTTCTTTTCGCTACTTGCCCGTGAAATCCTGCAGATTGCATTACTCTTCTTACAATTTCTAAATTTTCACATATTCCATATAATTCACAAAGTTCTGCAAAAGGTTTAGGAACATCAGTCTTAGATTCTTTTTAATACTCCTTAGAATAAAGCATTTAATTCCAACAGATAACTTAGATGGTCTTCCAGGTCTTCTTTTATTTTGAATACAATTCTGTTTCTTACAATGCTTAATAATATCAAAAGCTGTAGACTTATTTGAATTAAGTAGATAGGCAATTTTTATAATAAATTCCTCTTTCTTTTGATGCAAATCAGTAACTAATCTATAGGTTTCTAACGATGTTTCCTTTCGTGACCGAGCCGATGAATATTTTCTAAAAAGAAAATTGGAATTATAAAAGGAAATGATTTTTACTTAGCTTCTTTATACAGATAATTCGATAAAATTTCGTTTTTTATTTATCACAGACGATTTTAATTAGAAATTATCAAAATGTCTGATTAATTTCGTGGTACCTTTTTTTCCCTCCATTTCATCCTAAAACTTTTTTTTTTTTTTTTTATTTTTATTTACTGTGTAATATTTTCAGATTTATTTTAGTACCAAAAGAGAGCTAAGAAAAATATATATTCAAAGAAAAATATTCCTTATTTTATTTCAAAGCTTTTCTGCATTTTTGTGAGACATTGTATATTTTCTTATTTATTATATGATTTTGATTTTGTATCAGTTTTTTAAACTAAGTAAGCATTAAAGATTTTTTTTTCCTTTTAACAGGTTTAAAAGATCAAATATATAATGTGTACAGATATTTGCCAGCAATCACTCAAGTTGTTTTAATATCTGCTACGTTACCTGATGAGATATGGGAAATGACAAGTAAATTCATGGTTGACCCAATTAAGATTTTAGTGAAGAAGTGAGTATTTCTTTTAATATTATGCTTTTTATCATTAGAAGGATGTTATTTTTTTTAAACGAATATTTTATCCTCCTCTTTTATTTCTGATGGAGATTTTGCACTGATAAATGCAATATGAAGTCTGAGATTTGAGATCTTGGGGAATTCAGTGATTCTGGATTTCAGAATTTTTGAAGTTTTAGATAATAAGTTTAAATCTAGATAACATTTAGAAATTATAAAATTTAAATTGAAATAATTGTTTAAGAAATAGTGACCTGAAAAAAATTAATGTACAAAAAAGCTCAAAATTCGTTTGTTTATTTAAACATTTTTGGGTACTTTTCCGTTTTGCCGGCGCAAGCGATAAAGTCGCCAATAATGGTACAACCGATGCCAAACTGAATATTCTCGCTGGTAACCTTTTACGCCTCATTTTCAAAACGAGTTGCAGCTTTTTCTTATCAAATTGATTGTTTCTTTCAATGCTGGCATATTATTACATATGGAATTTTTATCAGATAGTTCAGTTTTATGTCTAAGGCCATTTTTGGTAATTAAGTCAATTGGGATGCAATCACAACGCTTACCCGAAGCCGAAAATATAGAAAAGGAAAGTCAAGGGTTCATCAATTCTAATGAGAATGCATTAGTGAAGTTAAGCACTGCAGTTTAAACATAATTTCTGAGTAAGCTATTCGTACGCATTGAAATATTTCATGCATTTAAAACTTGTGTTCCAAATTAAGATTTAACTTGAAATTAATGTAGATAATTACTGAGAGCATTATATTTTTTCTAGAGTAGTTTACGTGTGATGAGATCGTTGGTGTCACGTGATATGAACCTGCGAATTAGTGTGTTGAACCATGAAAGCATAGTAAATTCTTAAATTAATGTCTTTTTACAAATTTATTGGCTTTTTATAAAGTTTTAAACGATATTAAAATGTTTATGCCTTCAAAAAGAGAATTCCTAGAACTAAAATTTTTTAAATATTTTTTATGTGTATACTGTTTGTTGTCACCAATAAAGTCTGCTTGGCGAGATTTGCGCCGGTGAAACGGAAAAGTACCCATTTTTGCAATGAATTGCCATTTCTATCATTTTAAACTGTTTCATTTTTTGTGCTAATACTTTCTGTTTAATTTTATTGAGAGATGTAATTTCTTGTTCATTAGCAAAAATCCATTGCTCAAATTCTATAGTTGTCATGTTGGGAATTTCTGCTAAACTGGCAACCAAGATATTTTCATTCTCAAAAACCTCTGTGTCACTTTCTTCCCTGCCAATTTCTGGATTTAAAACCATATGTCGCATTTTACTGTTCATTAGTCGATTCCTGATTGCAGCATTGTCATGGCAACGGAAATTAAAAGATGCAATCTGAAAATTCACTGAATTTTCTGCTGTTAACCTTTGGGCCACAGCTCCATAGAGGCTTTAGTAAAGAAACATTATGCATCGAAAATTCTTAGATAGACAAGTTTTGGTTTACAGCCTATACTTCTACCATGCAAATCAAGAGAATACCACATTCTAATACATAACTTTTTAAAGAATAGTCAAGTTATGTTATTAATATATTTTTTTGTATTCATGTAAAGCTAACATGCTTGTATTAAAGTAAATAAATACAACATCCTCCCACCTTTAGATAATATTGGATTGGCAAGAAAGTAATTTTGGTTTGCACTGATTGATAGTGGTATGTTCATTTTGTTATTCTTCTGTCAATCTTGTAATTTTTTTTCTTTAGAGATGTGGCAGCTAACACTTTTAAGTTGCTGCGGAAACTAATTCCATGTATTTTTGTGTACAGTTGTTAGTTCATGGTCGATTTTAACATGGGCTGCAAAAATAAACATTTTTATCATATTTCACTTTTTTATTTTCATAACGGCAAGAGATATGGGAAGTTTGTGGTGTTGATTAATTAACAGAATGCATGTGTCAGAATTGGTTTAAAAAATTTCATTCAGAAGTTTTTTCCACTTGAAGATGACCAACGTTCTGGCTGACCTTCTGAAGTTGATGATGACAAAATTAAAGCCATAATTGAATTGAATCATAATGTAATTGTATGACAGATTGCCATAAAGTTTAAATGTATCACACACAACAATTGAAACCACATAAAATATCTTGGATTCATTAAGAAGCTCAGTATTTAAGTTCTGCATGAAATGAAAGAAATTCACATAACGTAATGTAGTTTACCCCTTTTTGAATTAAAATATCACTGGTGACAAAAAATAGATCATGTGCAATAAATTAATCAAATTAATCATAATCCAAGCATGATGAATCAACACAAATCATATCAAAAGCTGAATTGTATCAGAAAAAGATTCTGACAGTTTGGCGGGCTTACAAAGGTGTGTATTTTGAGTTGCTTCCTAGCAATCAAATGATCAAATCAGATGTTTATTTCCTACTTACAAAATTGGAGGAAGTAATCAAAAAGAAAAGGCCAGAATTAGCAAATCACAAAGTGATCATGTTCCACCACGACAATGCGAGGCCCCAAATATCTTTAGCATGGAGTGGTTTGTATGAAATTGTGGCAGAAGCTTAAATTATCAGAAGTTGTACCCATGCTGGGTACAAAAATGCTGACTGAGGGGCACAAAACCAGTGGTTGACACATCAGGTAGCAGATTTCTGTGCGGATGGAATTCAGAACCTAATTGTATGATTTGACAAATGCCTCAGTGTTGGTAGTAATTAAGGTTAAAAACAGATTAAGGTACAAGCTTCTGCATAAAAATTAAACTACAAAAGAAAAAATTCACTTTTTTTTTAAATATCTAAGTGGTACTTACTTAAAAAGCACACCTCATATTTGATAACTTAATGTCTTCTCCAGGAGAAATTTCGTGTCCATCCTTCCTGACTGGACTTGTTGCAGGTCTGCAGTTGATCACACAATCAAAGGAACATGCTTTTTTACAACAAATGAGACATTTTAAAAACATGCAACACTTTCTAACTGAATGACCAGGAACACGGCAGGCAAAACAGCATTTCTTATCCTTTACTATCTTGTTCCTTTCTTCTAGTATTGGTTTTTGAGCATTAAAACAGTCAGCATCAGCTTCACAAAGTATGCATCTTGGTTTCATTCTTTCAGGTTCTTCTGTGGCTGTCTCTTTGAGGTTCCAAATTATTAGTCCAAAGGGGCTTTGTCCCTGAAAGATTATTGTTTTTGTTTTACGATTTTGCCTTGGTTCACTATAAATGTCCATTTCACTTTTCAAACTGTTACCATCAAATGCTAGACTCCTATAGTTATATTTGAAGAAATTAAATAATGAAAAATCTGCATAAATGTATGTATATTTCTCACATTGTGATAATACAACGGTACATAGAACCATCGAATTTTGAATGGCATAATCCTGCTGCAAATATGATCATGTAAAAGCTCAAATTTGAAATTTGTTTTATTATCGTTTTCATATTTTGTAAAACTTAAACGAATTTTTGATTAACAAACTCAAGGATTTCAAAGTGAGCAGTGGCAATGTTGTACAGAAAAAAAACATTTTTATCTGCAGTGCAGGAGACTCTGTATTGGAAATTCTAAAGATATGCTCAATTTAAAACTATTTTGCGATATTGCTCTTGAACTGAATTTTATGGTTCAAGTGCGAACAACGTGATATTTAGTAAATAAAGGTAACAGACAAAATATTTTAAAAAATGCCCCTTTGGACGTAATTTAAAATCTATAACCTGTCAGAATTTATTTTTTATTTTTTTATTTATGTCGTTTCTAGGCATCTTCGTATCTTCATATTTAGTTAAACCAAAATCTGACATTGTCGAAGATATTCTCTCTTTACTTCGCCCTTGAGGAATGGCATTAAGTTGTTCACACATTCCTTCGCATCCTTTATAAAATTGGAAAAAGGGCTTTTATTTCAAGCTTGCTTTAAAAAATCCTCATCAAAGCATGGTTCCACTATTGGGTAAAGAATAGATGCACATTTCTCTGTTGAAATTCCCACTGTTTTAGGAGCTCACAAAGAACTCTTAATTTGAGGGATATCAATGGTAATTTTTGGTTGGATTGTACAGAGGTTATTCATTTCAATATTTTCAACATACTTCCATCAGCATGTCTTCTGTATTGAAATGAACCTTTAAATTATCTATGTCCTTTACATAATTCAATCTGTTTGGTAGAAAACTTTTCACTATTTCTCTTAATCTGCAACCAATGACAGTTGCTTGAACTAAATATTAGAATTTGTTTTCGGGAGCAATATCATCATCTTTATGAATATTTTCAAATGGCTTTTTTAAGTTGTCACCAAACTGTAATTTTGGGAAAATAAAACTTTTTTTGGAGGGGGGGGACTACTAGATTCTAAAATATACTGAGAATTTGTACCTGATTTTGAGCTTGAGTTTTTATTTTCACAAATTCCACTTCATTGTTAAATTTTCTGTAACTCAAATACTTGTTCTTGCTTCTTTTACTCTGATTCTAATTCTTGAGCTTAGATTTTTGTTGATAGTGGCACTACTTCACCAATTTTTTTTTTTTTTTTATTTTTTATTTTTTTTTTTTTTTTTCTTCTTCCCAGAAGTTTTAGATCTTCTTTCTCAGCATATTTCACTGATATAAACATCATTTAAACCTTAATTTATAGATGTTGGTTAACTTTACAAAGGCCTACAAAAGGACACCATGTGAAAGATACAATCCAAAAATTCACTGTTTCTGCCATTACCATGTGAAGGATGCAATCCAAAAATTCAGTGAAGTTTCTGCCATTACCATGTGAAGGATGCAATCCAAAAATTCAGTGAAGTTTCTGCCATTAAACTATTTACCTTTGATTCCCAGGCTTCACAAAGGCTTTAATAAAGAAACATTATGCATCAAAGATTCTTAAATAAGGACATTTTTATTTACAGCACATAATTTTACCCGGCAAGTCAAGAGAATCTCATATTCTAATATGTAACTTTTAAAGAATATTCTTTTTAGAACAACAATAAACTGGAATTAAATATTGTTGCCACTCATCAGTTGTGTTAATAAACTATTGTTTGAATTTATGTAAAGCTAACAAGCTTATATTAAAATACTATATAAATAAATACTTCACGAGCAGATGATAACAGAAATACTGTTATATCATCTTCATTTGTCGTATATCATTAATTTGAAAATTTCTCATTCTATGCATTCAAAATCTATGCCAAAATGATATTGTTCTTTTGTCTAATTTTGAAATCGCACTTCCTTGTGCCTGAATTGCGCCATCCCCGTTTTCTCTCACCAAGGCCATTATGAAATGTTACCAGATATGCTTTTCTTTTTGCAGATCCAGAATTAGAAATTCTTTTTGACATAATCAGAATTTAAAACTTTAATTTTGATAAGATCACTGTAATAATAATAGCCTTTAAAAAATAAGAAGCTGACTAGTATGAAAAATTAAGGAACGCCAATGTTTGCTATGTTCTTTGGAAATCTTAATTCTTCTTTCTTCCTGGCTTTTATGTCAACAAAAGAAAACTAGTATTAGCATCATCCCTCTCCTAACAAACATGCCTTGAAGCTTCACTTATTGTTTATATCCAGACAGAAAAATGTTAACTCTCCTTCCTCTACAACTACTCAAGGTCCAAAAGCATGGCTATTCCTAATGCCAATCAGTATATTATCATTATCCCATTTTGATTCTTTAGTCTGCGGGTGTCTGAAAGAGATATGCAGAAGTCTCAATTAATCAGAGGAAAATTTGCTTTTATGGAACATCTGTCCCCCCCTTTCTCTCTCTAGTACTGTAATCTTCATTCTCACCACACAGAAGGTATAGCTGTTACAGAAGCTTACTGCAGTATTGAGGGTCCTAGGTTTGAATCCCAAAGAAGGCATGGTTGTAACTGTCCGTCCCTTCATAGGAGGTACCATAATACTTGTCTAAAGATAATATCCCATTTTTCTTGCATTGTTTTTATAATGAAAGGATGAAAATTTAAGTCAAGCTGAATAACCCATTATATTCACTCTTTTTAGGTATAGTTGATGGTTTTAAGGCAGTTGCTTCATTGATGAATAAAGTTGAAATGTGTTGTCTTAAAATTCAGTTAACTTAATCTGCTATTAAAATTTTTCTTGTTCTCTTCCAGTTTCATTTGAGTGTACTTTATTTTATGAAATTTATTTTTAAAAATACTTTCATATTTTGGCTAGTCCCCCTTTTGCTGTATGTATATTTTGGTTTCCTTGTGTGTTGGTGTTAAATGTTATAATGTTGAACATTAATAGTTTGTCCCAGATTTGACTTCCATCAAGTAGGCTGGCAGCACGGAGTTATTCCCTAATGTGTAATTTGAATATAAAGCAATTTCCCCTTAGAATGTCTTCTTTAACCCTCTCGCTGCACATCCCTCGATTTCCACAGGCAATGTAGAAGTAGCAAAATTTGCGCAATGTGGGCTAACAGATGGTGTTACTTGTCCACATTTCTGCCAAATATACAATAATACATAATGTAGCATTTTGTGTGCACTTTTCAAAGCTCAAAGATGTCTGGCAGAAAGCGTTTAGCGAAACTGATGAGAATAACTCGGATTCCTCTGCAGGTAGTGATTAATCTGAAAATTTAGTTTCTCTTGAAAATGTTCAACAGTGGTGTAAAATTGATATGCAAAATATTGCATTACGCAAATATTTTCATTAGTATATATGTTTTACCTTTGTATTTTATAAAATAAATCATAATTTAACCAATATGAATTTTCAAAATTTTCCTTTTGTATCATTATTCTTCAATTTCAGTATTCTGACAACCTTTTTCTATGATCTAATTCTATATTGAAAAAGAACTCTTTTACAAAAATTTTTTGTATATTCTAACTCTAATGTATATGTAGATTTGAAATATGTAATAAAAAATTACGCAATTTTTGAACCTATTTTGATAAAAAAAAAAAAAAAAAAAGTACGCAGTGAGAGGGTTAAAGGTATGCTCAGAAAGCAAATAACCTATTCTGAGTTTCTGTATACCTATAACTACAATCAGCAGTCATTTTGACCGCTTGTTTCAAATAGAAGAAAAGGCTCACTTTTCCCTTATACAGTTAAAAGTTGTTAATCCGGACTCGTCGGGACTTCGATTCCGGATTATAGATCGTCAGTTTAAATATGGTAAGATTGCATGCATAAATTATAAAATTAATAATATGAAACTGTAATTTATGAAATAAAGAGCAATTATGATTTAAAGGGTATCAAAAATTTACAAAAAGAAAAAGCTAAATATTTATTTGTTTACTTTATTAAACATTTTCTTCAATGTAAGTTGTTTAAGTTGCTTCGTTTCAGTGATAATACTTTCTCTTTAATTCTATTAAACAGACATAATTCTTGTTTAGTTACAATGTTCCCTGTTCAAGTCCTATAATTGCTGTTGTCGAGAATACCGACTAATTTGTCAATCGAAATTTTTTCGTTTTCAATAACCTCTGGGTCACTTTCTTCACTACGAAGCGAATTATAATGACGAGAACTTGATTTAATCATATCAAAGACGGAGTACATCGAGATGAAATACTACATGTTAGTAAGAAATATAAGCCAAATAAAATAAAAGCATCTGCCCTGAAGATACGGATAGTGCTGACAGATCAACTTCCAATTCATTGCGCGCCGCACCGTGAAATTGATAAACAGATTTTAGAACAGACTTTCACTTTGTAGATCCTTTATATATTAGTAAATATATATCGAAAATTCTATTTGACATAATCGAAAGTTCAAGCTTACTTTTATAAAATTGCTCTAACAGTCTGCAAAAAATAATAAGCCGGATCCAATTCAAAGATTAAGGAACAACGCAATCTGCAACATTAACTGAATTAGATAATTTTAGCTTAGCTTATACCATCCATTACACATTAAACGCGCATGCACACACACATATTCGCAGCCGTAAAGGTCTTTCGCGCACTCATAAACGCCTATGCGCATGTGTGAACGCGACGCATGCGCAGAACGTTTGTAGCTTTGAGGTCCGGATTATGGGTGTCCGAATTAACGACTTTTGACTGTATTATGTAAAAGTAATGCTTATAATGATAGATTTTGCTTGTTTAATAAGTAAATTGAGTAAATAATGAAACCAAAAGATAATTTAATGTAATGACTAACAAAATAAAATGAATAAATATATTAATCAAAGGATAATTTAATATGGCAAAGAGCTAAAAGAGGAAACATATGGATTAATTTTCAATCTTTGGGATCTAGTTAATTTCTAGTCGAAGATCAAATATGTTATAATTTTTAGAAATTTGTCCCTAGCCTTTGTCTCAGTGAAAAATGCCAGGCCCCAAGATTTTAATGATAAACTTAAAATAGAAAGACCTTTTGCAGCAAAAGCTTTATACACATAAAACAGTGAAATGAAAGTGTCTAATTCATCGAATGCCAAACTCGTATTCTGAGATTTATTATGTATCTCTTCTTCAGCACACTGCTGAATGTGACGCAATATTTTTCATTGATAAACAGTCTCCATAGACTACTCGAATTACCATCAACTATTTTTCTCTTTGCATATAAAGCTGGCCCAACTACTTCTCGTAAGACATTCTGCACAGGACATCTCCCTGTACCACTTGTCGAAATATTTCCTATTTTCCAAACTGAACCATGCTTTTAAACTTTGGATACATCTTCCTCACTCTCGAGTTCTGTTTTGTTGCCTGTTTTCTCGAGTTTGACTACTGCTGTTGATTTCACTTCTGGAAACTATGCTAGTGGAAGGCAATATAATATTTGCTTAATCTAAATTTTTACTTTCTGTTTCGTGAATAGGTTCTCTGTCAGACGAATAGGATTTACTTGTTTCAGTAGGAACAAACCAGTCCTCGTTTTAGTATGTAATTCTTCACCAGGTTCAGTTTCCAAAGCAGAATTATCATCAGAAAGACTTTCAAAACTTTCAGCATCTCTTCATTAGATATTTTCTACCAATGCTTCTATGCGACATCATAAATTGATCAGAACAACAAAACTATCCAAATGAATTAAAGTACATTTATGTCTACTGAAAAATAACCTTTCTAACACAAGGGAAATGAGCAGACACGTAGCACGCAAATTTCCCAATCAGGTGTTTTCATTCTCCCTTCTCCCCTCCATACTCACTTCTGTGAAATATGAAAGCTTCCTTACCAAAAATACACTTGTTTTTCTATCAGCAAAACAGAAATAGCTAAAAAAGTCATAAAAATAATGAGAAATATATAATTTTCTGGATATGGTCAAAATGACCGACACCCATAATTCTAGGTATAAAGAATAATATTGGCAAAAATAATTTAAAATGAGCCAAAAAATATGTAATATTTGCAAGTTGTTAAGAACTTGTTGCAAGTTTTTGCAAATGTTATATCATGTAATATTCGCAAAAAATATCATGTAATATTCATAAATCAAAAAATATCAAAGTTATAAATAAAGAATTAAAACAGTTATGTTCAATTAAAATGGAGATACAGTCAAATTGACTGTTGCTGTAATTCTAGTGTTAATCAATCAATCAGTAACTTTTCACACAAGCTAAATGCTATGCATATATATTTGTGAAAAGATGCCATATAATATTTTAAAGCCATTGTAAGTTAAGCATTTACTGTAAAAGCTTAGATTTCTTTCTTTTGTCAGCTTATCGCATGTTTATCACCATACTTTATTTTAATTTTATTTTGTATTTAACCTGAAAATCCAGCTGTGAAATATTTTTTCATATTAAAAATGTATTAAAATTCCTCTTTAGAGATGAAATGACACTAGAAGGTATCAAGCAGTTTTTCGTTTTAGTTGAAAAAGAAGAATGGAAATTGGATACTCTGTTGGATTTGTATGAAAGAATGACTATTAGACAAGCTGTAATATTTTGTAATACAAAAAGGAAGGTATGTATAGATTTTATTATTATTATTATTTTGATTAATTGAGAACTCTTAGAATAAGTAAGTTATTAAAAATTCCTTTTTACATATCTGAAATTATATTCGCATTCATTCCATGCTCTCATTTATAAATCTTAGTTTTTTAAAATATTGAAATATTTGTTATTTTCATGGCATAAATTTTTATCATCTGTTTCCAAAAATATAGCTTCATGGGCCTTGTTATTATTGAACTATTATTAATATAAATAGAACTATTAATGTAATAAACTTAATAAAAGTGTTTTTTCCCTCTTTGTTATGTTGTTGTTGCCAATTAGAAAATAAAGATGTGTTGTGTTATTTCTGTTTAAAATACAACAGCTGATTTAGTATTTTGACTCTCCAAGCACTTTGAATTTAGATCTGAAATTTTAGAGTTCCCCAGAATGTCATCAATAAATTGTGTGTGTGTTTCTTGATTTTAATTCCGAAATGATCTTCTCACTTTGTACCTTGATTCCTTTGCTTCCAGTATACATTCAACCAGAAATCAGACACATCAGGAGCTAGCAGAAATGTTTTGTGTGTAGCAAATTTGAAAGCTATACTTCTATATAGAATTTTATGTTCATAATCTTTGGAGGGTTAAAGTGAAAGAATATCCATGTGACATTAACTGATGCATTCTTCTTAATGGAAATAATAATTAATTGTAAGCCTCTAGATTATTTTCTTTATTAGAAATAAATGGGCTCCTTCTTGTGTATAATAAGCAGTGATGATGATGATAAGTAATATATGTCATATCAGTTTTATCTCTAGTGTACGTTTTAATATCAGAAATGTGATTTCTATGATTTATGTGAATTTATTCCTGGTATATTAGGTTGATTGGCTGACAAAAAAAATGAAGGAAGCTGATTTTACTGTTTCATCAATGCATGGTGATATGCCTCACAAAATGAGGGAGGCTATCATGAATCAATTTCGTTCAGCACAAACGTAAGTAGATCTTAATTAAAAATTAATGTTAATATTTTAATTATCAGTATCTTTCAAAGTCAGTTTAAGAAATGCTTTCCTTATGTAGATTTTCTTCTTTTGTATAATATTTTACCATTTTAATCCAAAGGTCATAAAAATTATTTCTGCATTGAATAATATATATATATCAGTTATATTGCAAGAAGCGTGTAGGAGCTCAGTTTTCAGTTGTAATTGTCTTCTACAGAGTTTTATATGCATGTTTCTTATGACAGGATGTCTTTGAGTGGCTACACTGACACTGAAAGCATACTAAAGGGTTTGGTTTGTAAGGTCTTATGGGGCAGAGTAAGTATCCAGCCTTTACAGCAGATCAGACAAATGAAAAGTCAGGTTCACGTACTTCATATTGATCAGCTGAGTTTGTTTGCACATCTTGATGTGCTTAATAGCACGAACATTTCAGTCAAACGACTTAGGTACTTCTCTCTGAAACTTCAACTTCTCTTCTGAAACAAAGACATGGTCAGTCTCTGAAGGTAACACCTGGACAATAATTTAGTGTTTTATATTCTAGTATATTTATATCAAATTGCCCAAGCTTTTTTAATTCTGGGAAGATACATTTTATAGAAGAAAATGTAATGGTGAACTGATATATAGATAAGGACAGTGCTGCTTAGAAAGGTTTATAATTGAAGATTCCAGTGTAAAATAAAAGAAGATAGCTAGAACCAAGATAACAAGTATTAAAATTTTTTAGAACAAAATGTACAAATTTGAATACAAAAACTATAGAGTGACCAGTTTATGTTTACAAATAATCAAATATTAATGCTGCAATTTAATTACAGTGGCAGCTCATGAGCATAAAATAAATTATAGTGTTTTCTTTAGAATAAATTAGTTAATGGTATTACCTTTGGAATAAAAACTAAATTGTTTTATTGCTGGCTAAATGAATAATGTATTCCTAAAATCATGATTTCTGTTAGGATAATGTAATTTAACATGCTGACTTACACTGCAGATTTCAGGATTCTAGTCTCAGATGCCAGTTTAAGTTATTCATATTTTAGTATGATTATGGTAGTATAGAATAATCACCAAATAACACACAGATTATGTGTTCTAGGGAAACAAATTTTGCGAATTATCAGATATTTGGCATTTGTAACAGAATATTCTTCACAGAAGCCAGTTGCAGATTATTTCCTACATGAAAATTAAAAGCACTTTCTTGCATTTGGTGCCCTGCATAGAAAGCCAACCATGAGTTTATCTCATAATTTGCAGTCACTGTGTTAATACACATATCAAGTGCTGTAAACATCATCCTTGGCAAAAAAACAACTGAAAATGTGTTGCCTTCCAAACATTAAACTTACCAAATTAATTCCAGATTTCTCCATTAAATATGAATAAAATTTTCATAAATACGGTAATAAAAAAATAATATTTAGTTCTGAATTAGATACTTTCCCAGAGTGTGCATCACAGTGCAAATACAGGTAGGTGTTAACTCCTGTCCTCCAGTTTGGACAATTAAAATGTGCAATGTTTATGATTTCCAAACTGATTTCATGCACATGAAAAATCAGTGTATGTAATAATTTTTATAATAGATTGAGGATTTGTCCTTCATTTCTTCTTTAGAAGGATGAGTATAGTCATTTAAAAAATGACACGTAAGGAGTGCACAGTTTCAATTTGTGTCTGTCACAGATTTTATGCTTTTTTTTTATGCAAATATTATATAAAAAGTTTCTTTTCAATGTGTGATTCAAATGACACTGAAACTAACATTTGCATTCTTCAGACTCAGATTCGGAAACTCGCACATTTCAAGATTATTTTGTTTTTTGTATTAAGTTCAGCATTTGTTTATTATTTAGCTTTAAAATTAATATTCTGTTCTGTTGATTGTACATGTATTCTTACTGTAATTAAAAGATTTTGAAATCTAAAATGTGACTGATTCATTAATTATTCAGACATGTATATTAAAAAGTATATTTTATTTCATTTAGTTTTGGAGGAAGGGTCAGAGTAATCATATTTTAATCCTTTTATTGATATAATACACAAAAATTAAGGAAGCAAAATGTTTCCCATTTTTAGTGCATTTTCTGAATGTATCCTGTTTAAGGGTTAAATTATCTGAAATTTATTTGCTGCAATAGATTTGAAGCTTTGATGATTGAAAATGAAACTTACAGACTTTAAAAATTTGACTTTAAGCATTTCTTTATTTAAACTTAACTTTAATCTAGTCTTAGATTTATTTGATTTTGTTAAAAATGCTATTTGAGAGATACTCCCCTCAAAATGCATGAAGTTTTCATTCAAAGTTAAGAATTTTATGAAGTTTTAAATAGGAGTATATTTCTTTAGTTTCATGTCATTTAAATTATGCTTATTTTGTAAAATTCTGAATGTTTTATGTAATTTTGTTTTCCAGGAGAGTTTTGATAGCTACTGATATTTGGGCAAGAGGATTAGATGTGCAACAAGTTTCTCTGGTCATAAATTATGATGTACCCACTAACAAAGAATCATATATACATAGGTAAATGCTATTTGATATTTTAATTCAGTGTCTAAATTGATAAAATCGCAAAGTGTTAAATTATAACAGTCTTCTCCTTTTTTGCTTGTACATGGGACATGTACCAAATTGAATTTCATTATAGAGCTCCTTTTATTATTGTATATGTAACATGGAGTTTATTTAACATTTTGCATTAATGTGTAACATTCCTATGAAAGCAGATTACCATTAATAGTATTAACAGAAATCAAATTAGCATGCTTTTTGATTGCTTCATTTTGGGATATTCTGTACTTATAAAATTTAATATTGTTACAAAATGCCTAGTCACGGTAAGACAGCTTCTCTGCAAGGCAGGTTTAGGGCTGCCGGAAAATGACAAAAGAAGGTAGGATTGCCATATTTGGTGTGAAATCACCCATTTGGCAACAAAATTTGTATTGTGCCATAGATAGATGGAGAACATTTTAAAACGAATTCTTACCATTTTGGCTCAGAATGTTTACAAAGGCAGGCCAAAAGTTATATAAACCCTGCTTGTACATGGAATAGCAGTGTATTGCGAGATTTATCGTGAAGAGTATCTTGAGTATGTTGAGCTCTGAGAGTGGTTGACCGAGTCGGGAGCTGTATTTAGTGTTTTGCTGTGAAGCTGTCTTCATCGTTATAGCCTGATAGCCAGAAGGCTGTGTTGCTGACTGTTTCAGCGTGTTTATGGTAGTTTTTGATGATTGTAAATGTTAACTTTTTTTTGAAATGCTGGCAAATAAATTGGGTTTTTGATTCTTTATCAAGTGATGTCATCAATCACTCCAAATCCACGAACCCGTAAAACGCAACAACTAGTGTCAGAAGTGGGGGTTTTGAGTGAATGCTAGTGACCCGCCTACAGGAAAAAGTCCATGGCAGAGGAAATGAAGTTGATGGGCATCTTAGTTGATGGACAGTAGTGAAGTGTCTGAGAACGATGAAGAAATGAGGGATGAAACATCTAACGGGATTAAAGAAGAAGAAAACATGAAGAAATAAAAGACAGAAAAGAAGCTTTTGAAGTGCCTGAAGTTGAAGTAGAAGAAAGTAAAAATGTGACTGTTAAGTTGGTAGAAACTGATAGTGGAGTTACGAAGGTGTTTTAGTATGGCAAGAAAATACACTTGACTTTACAAACTAAGGGTGTGTCTCATAATAAAAGTTGTAAAGGCACTAACTTGATTTTAAACAAAGATACTTCTATTTGTAAAGAATCAGATTCCATTCATAACTCTAATTCAAAATTTAGAACTGGTTCCCAAGTAATAAAGGGAAATATACCGAGGTGAACTGTACACATGATGTGAATAAACTATGGAGTGGTGAGCAAACTGTTTCAGATCTTCCTATGGATGAAAAATCTGAAAGGGCTGAAGTTTTAGATTGTGATATGTAAAATGGAAATGCATCTGAGAATTGCAGTGAAAAAGTAATTAGCTTATGTATAACTTAATGAAAAGCCTGAGTCTGAAATTCAATCTCAACTTTAATTTATGAAATTTAAAATTGTTATATGGTTAATTTGTGCATATATAACTTGTAAATAGTGTAAATTTTTTTTTTTTTTTTATTTACATTTGTTTATTTTATTACCTTTTGTTTGTATTGAATTTGGCTTCTGACCAAGGATTGTACTGCCCACAACATGCAGTCCTTGGGAGGGGTCAGTGTTGCAAAATGCCCAGCAATGGTAAAATAGCTTCCCCGCTAGGCAACTTTAGAGTTGCCAGAAAATGGCAAGGGAAGGCAGGGTTTGCCATAGTTGGCTCGAAATTACCCATTTTTCAACAAAATTGGCAATATGCCATAGACAGATGGAGAGCATTCTAGAACAAATTCTTACTGGTTTGGCCCAGAATGTTCTCAAAGTCAGGCCAAAAGCTATATAAACCCTGCCTGTGTGGGGAGTAGCTAGCAGTTTATTGTGGTGCATCATCAAGTATATTGCGAGTTTTGTCGTGTATCTCGAGTGTGTTGAGTTCAGAGAGCGATTGACCAAGTCAGTGTGTTTAATTAGTGTATTTATTGTTTTGCCATGAAACTGTCTTAACCGTTATATCCTGATAGCTGGAAGGCTGTGTTGCTGACTGTTTCAGTGCATTTATTGTAGTTTTTTTATGATTGTAAACGTGTCTTTGGAACTCTCCTGTGAAATACTGGTGAATAAATTGTGCTTTTGATTCTTCATCAAGTGTTGTCATTAATCACTCCAAATCCACAAACTCGTAGAACACAACAATATTTTGTTTCTTGTAAATGCATTTAACAGAACACTGCATTTATAGGAATGCATATTATATTTTTTCATCTTTTAAAAATATTCTTCTAAAAATAGACCTGCAAATAATTACTGCATGTATAGCATTGCTAGAATTATTATTCTAATTTAAAGCCTGATACTAATAATAAATAATCGGCAAAAAGCCAAACAAATCCACAAGCCTATTAATATTTTTTTCTCATTTCTAGATATATAGAGAATTTCACTTACATTTCTTTAGGATCATAAACTGTGTATATTCTCAGATGAGTTGCACTGTTTCTCACTTTCACTATATATATGGGTACAATAGAGAATATTCATGATTGCAATGTAATCTTTCATTGAAATCGCTAAATAACTTTTAACAATGGCATTAATTAAATTTATTAGAGCAACAGAACTGATTTGTTACAAGAGAAATAATTTTTGAATGAATAAAGAATAGCAAAATTATGATTCCTCTCTTTTTTTTTTTTTTTTTTTCTTTTAAGAAGGGGAAAAAAAAAAATTTATGTATAACTGGCGAAAAATTATTTTTTAGAGAAAAGATTGCAAAAAGAAAAAATGCCATTTTTATGCACATAATTTTATTGCATAAAAAAACTAAATATGTTAGATTCATCAATCTAAAAAGAAGTTAGATACCTGAAAATAGAATAAAAATTCTTTTTACTTTGTATCTAGCAATCCTGATTATGTAGGAGATATTCATACACAGATATACAATTTTAGAGATTCAAAAACTTTTTACTGTTGCATATATGTATACATTTACTTGCTTTTAAGTGCTTCCAACACCTTCAAAATATCATTTTTCAAAAATCATTTTTGGAAACTTCTCAGTATTATGCTAATAATGTTAGAAAAATATTTCATTTTAACTGGTTCTTGTCATAATATTAAAATATGTACCTTGTAAATATTTGTTTACCTTGGCTGCAATTTTATCTTGCAGGATTGGACGATCCGGTCGATTTGGGCGTAAAGGTGTAGCAATAACTTTTGTTAAAAATAATGATATCGATAATATGCTTGAAATTGAGAAGCACTATTCAACACAAATTAAAGAAATTCCTATGAATCGTAAGTAATGATTTTTAATGCCTATATATACTTGAGCAGTTTTTCGAGGAAATGCTGCAGCTTTTGTATGTGAGTTTTATCGAATAAGAATTATTGTAGCTAGAACCATTCCTTTAATAAAATTTCAGCTTTAAAAAAAATTTCCCCCTCTCCCAGAGTAACATTAAAAGACAGAATCATTCAGAAAAGAACTAAATGACTTTATTTTGATTACCTATATGCTTTAGACTTTTTTTAATTCTTTAAGCTAAGAAAAAAAAAAATTTGTAGTCTTTGACAGTGAAATTTAAAATCCTGAAAACGCACTATCAGCCTGTGATCATGTGAGCAAATTATTGTATACAGTACAAAGTCCGAGATCTGGATGCCCAATATCCAGAATGATTTAAAATCTGGACCTCAAAGCCACCACCAACCTTTCTTTTAAAGATTTTTTTGTATGCTTTGCACATGTGCATATGATTTTTTTCCTCAATAAATTTATGCTATCATTAATTTGACCCCATACCTGCGTATATGGTTGTCATGCATCTTAAACCAAAACATAACATTCTACATAGAAACATCGATTTTAAACACCAACTAATATTTTATATCCCTGATGCGAACCTGGCAAATCATTATTTATTATATATATTAATCTTTTATCAGCACATGACAACTTGTGTAATGACTTATGCAGCGATGCCTGAAATATATATTTATATATATATATATATTAGTGAATGAATAACAAAGAACAAAGTAAACTTCTGTGTCGACATTATGCTTGGCAGTATTTACAGATTTAAGTTAATTGCCTAAGAAATGTTGATGAGAAAACATTTAACAAAAATTTCTTTCCATATGCCTAAAATAGATTTTGTTAATGAAACTCATAGGCCAAAAGATTACATTTAATGCTATTTGAATTAATAACAACTGCTTTATTATTCACATAAACCCAGACCCTGCGCCAGAGCTCATATGGCCGAATCAGGTGGCGGAATTTAGTGAAGGCAAAATTTTTAGAATTTAGGGAAAGTGCTGGGACCCAAAATTTAGGGGCGACAAAAAGTTAGAACTTAAGCAGACGTTTGCTAAAAAAATTTAGAACCTGCAGAGACTGCATCAAGCTGTAAGATATTTAGCGCAGGCCCTTGATAAGCCTTAAGTATATGTAGGAATTTATCTATTCAGGACTCAGATAAGCCTTAAGCATGTGCAAGAAATATACGTAAGTGTGATAAATAACTAAAATAATAGAATTCAGGCTTAATTGCCTTAGTGTGCGATAGAAGCAAGACAAAATTTAGCGAAACAACTTGTCTTTCATCTCCAGTCTCATGACAGCTGATACTGAAGCTGCTGAACTCTTTGCAGATAACTTTATTGAACTCACTAACAGTGAAAAGGATTCTCAACAAATTTACAACGTTGATGAAACAGGTCTTTTCTGGCAAAATGTACTACGAAATACTTTGGTAAATTCTACAGAAATTATTAAAACTAATGTCAAAAATTTCAAAGTGAGACTAACAATTTTAGCATGTGCAAATGTTGGAGGAATGCATAAGTGTAAACTTAAAAAATACACAACATCGAGCATTTAAAGGCGTGAAGATTTTCCCCGTTGAATATTGTGCAAATAAAAGAGCATAGATAACACAAGCGTTAATGAATGATTGGTTTGAAAATCATTTCATACCTGAGACTTGGGAACATTTGAATTTGGTTGGTTTATCTGATCACGCAAAAATTATTCTGATTGTAGACATATGGCTCATATGTCACTTAAAGTTTTATATCAGGAAATTTTATATCAGGATTATCAGGAAAATATGTATCAGTAAATAATGCGGATCATCCTAGATCAGGATGTATCCGCATTATTCTTTCCTCCAAATTTTACGTTCCTATAGATATTGGAATAGTGCACGAACTGAAATGCAAATACAGTCAAAAGTCGTTAATTCGGACACCCATAATCCAGAATGATCTATAATCCGGACCTTAAAGCTACAAACTTTCTGCTCATGCATCGCTTTGACACATGTGCGCAAGACCTTTCCGGCTGCGCATATGTGTGTGCACATGCGCGTTTAATGTATAACGGATGGTATAAGCTAAAATTATCTAATTATCTATTTCAGTTTAATGTTGCAGATTGCGTTGTTTCTTAATCTTTGAATTGGATTTTTTGCAGACTGTTAGAGCAATTTTATAAAAGTAAGCTTGAACTTTCAATTATGTCAAAAAGAATTTCCGATTCTGGAACTGCCAAAGGATCTACAAAGCGAAAGCATGTTTCGATATCCATCGAACAAAAAGTGGAATTGCTGCAAAAAATGGGTAAAAGTATATCCTTCGTTTCTCTAACCATTCCGAAATCTGTTTATCAATTTCACTCTGCTCTGCAGGTTTATCAATTTCACGTTGCTCTGCGGCGCGTAATGAATTGGAAGTTGATCTGTCAGCACTATCCTTATCTTCAGGGCAGATGTTTTTATTTTATTTGGCTTGTAATTCCTTACTAAATGTAGTATTTGATCTCAATGTACTCCATCTTTGATATGATTTAAATCAAATTTCTCATCATTATAATTTGCTTCCGATAGTGAAGAAAGTGACACAGAGGTTATCGAAAACGAAAAAATTTCGATTGACAAATTAGTCGGTATTCTCACACAGCAATTATAGGACTTAAGCAGCGGAACTTTGTAAATGAACAAGAAATTATGTCTATTTATAGAATTAAAGAGAAAGTATTATCACATAAAACGAAGCAACTTAAACAACTTACATTGAAAGAAATGTTTAATAACAGTAAGTTTAGTAAACAAATAAAAATTAAGCAGCTTTTTTTTTTTTTTTTTTTTTGTAAATTTTGATATCCTTTAGATCATAATTGTTCTTCATTTCATAAATTATGGTTTCATATTTTTAATTTTATAATTTCTGCATGCCATCTTACCAGATCTAAACTGATGATATATAATCCAGAAAAATCGATAATCCGGAATCGCCGAAGTCCCGACGAGTCCGGATTAATGACTTTTGACTGTATAAAGTAGCATTTTTAAAATCCATGTGAAATTTCTTGAATAATGGCAAGACTATTTAAGAATTTTTGAAATACTTTTGCATAAAATCTGCTGTATGGTGCATTGCAAGATCGTGGGAGGATGTGTCTTCAGATACTTTAAAAAATGCTTGTCATAAACTTTGGCCAGGGACAGTATTTTATGGTGAGGCTGATGAAGATGATAACTGCAAATTTGAAGGTTTTCAGATATTGCAAACCAAAGGTGAAATTTTGTAATTAATGGATTTTGTAAAGAAATATGGAGAAGCGATAATAAATTAAGATGATACAACAGAAGTTTTTCATTGCGATAACAATGCCCCAATCATCAGTCATTTAATGGATGGCGAAATCTGTTGTATGGTTCTAGATCAGGAAAATACCACTACCAATTGTGAAGAAAGTGACAGAGAGGTTATTGAAAACGAAACAATTACAATTAATAATTTAGTTGGAATTCTTGAGAGCAATTACATGACTTTAACAAAATGAAACTTTATAACTGAACAAGAATTTAAGTCGGTCTATAGAATTAAAGAGAAAATATTAGCACAAAATTTAAAGCAACTTAGCTTGAAATGTTTAATAAAATTAGGTTAGGTTATTTAATTACGGTAAAGCCTATCTGCCTAAGGGGAGAGGGATGCCTTCGTGGAGGACTTTCTAAGGGAAACTGGCTCGTATACATGTTACGCATGAGGAAAACCGCAGAAATCTCATGCAGCCAGCCCGTTCACGGGATTCGAACCTCTGACCAAACTACCAGTGTTCAGCGACTTTACCACTCGGCCGCTGGTGAGCTGTTTAATAAAGTAAATAAATAAATAAATATTGAGATCATAAATGAATCATAGATTATAAATGCTTCCTTATTTCATAAATCAAGATTTCATTTTTTTCATTTCTACATACTATCTTACTAGATTTAAACTGATTGTCTAATATCTAGAAAAATCCCAAATCCAGAATCGCCAAAGGCCCAACGAGTCCGGATTTCGGACTTTACTGTATCAACTTACATATTGTTACTGAGTGCAGATTTACAGAACACAATTTTTTTCAAATCTTAATTCTTTTCATTTAATTTTTCCAATGCTAGAAATTTATTTGTATGTGAAAGTTTTTTGCTGAATGGTGGAGGCCATGTTGCCCTTGTGACGTATTTTTTATTGGAGACCATCCCTGCACATATCTAGCAACACTGCTTGGTACTGCCTGTTAGCTAAGTAATGCAGATGAAGTTGATTATGATTTATGTTGGCAGACTAGATTTGTAATCATACCATAATCATGTTTACAGACCATGTAAACTGATCATCAAAATCAAAGAATAATGATAAACAATATGCTAAGTTAATGTTGCAACCAATGTCCTATATTGTAATTATTTATGTTAATTAAATACAACTGAACACAAAATTGCACTTCCATGCATACATTAATGCTGGAAATATGCAAATTAGGTGATTGACGATGTGGTGCGCAGTGGACGCATGTTGGAAGTCCGCTTTGTAATGCTGCTTAACTCCTTAACTGCCGCGGGCATATATATATATGCCTTGCTCAGCTGTTGCGTTAACTGCCCCGGGTGTATATATATGCCCTTCCGAAATACTATAATTTGCTTTGCGCTGTTACCAGTAAAATTATTCCCATAACTTTTGAATGCAACACCACAATGTCCTTGACAGAGTATGCGAAAGAGGATACTATTTGAGAGAAGAGGGGGGAGGAATGGTAGAGGAAGATGTTTCTGAAATGGCAAAAGTAATGACTGTGCCGTTGTTCGTGTTTCTGTTTGAGTAAAATGTATTTTTTTATTCTGTATCTTCCGTTTTCGTTTACTGTTTTTTAGTAGGTGTTTATAAATATGTCTGACAGTGAAGACTAATGACTGCACGGTTATTGCTCTCATGTTTCTGTTTGAGTAAATCAT